TAAACTAGAAAATTAGAATTTTATAATATTTAGGTTGAAACTCATATTGATATTACTTTAAGATAAAATAATAACAGACTCACCTTTGCCTTTCTCAAAATCATAAAATAAAATCGAGAAAGATAATCAACAGAACAAAGTATGAATCATAATTGAAGATTCAAGTTTTAGATTTCAGAACCACGTTGCATTACATGGGTACACTTCTAGTATTTATTTAAATATATATAATATTTATATATGACAAATAAAACCCTAATACATCAAAGGGCTTTTGGCCTAGCGGTATGTGAGTCTTTGGCTTTTTAGGAGGTTAAAAATTCAAACTTCACCAAACGTGAGAAAAATATGTGAATTTATTTGTTCTATTTATCATATATAATATTATATACTAAAAAAAACCTAATACGCATCTCACCTTTAACAAACCATCTTGACTTGACAATTTTAGAAACTAACAAAAATTCTTTTAAAATTATAATGTTTTCTGAGAAATATTTTTTTAAGGAAATTTTTGTTTTAACTTGAGATTTATTTAAATTGGGCACATCAACTTGTCCCTTTTTATAAGGTAACAATACATTATTTAAAAAAAGCGTCAAATGATTTTTAGTTCGAACAAGTTCAGACATCAATAAAAAAATGATATTGATCTCCGTACAATAATTTTTCTAAAAAGTCATATGTATTATTCAACAATCATTTTCGTACAACATTTTTTTTTCCATTCGAACGTCCAAAGTGAGACCACTGAGACTTTCGTTCCAGAAAATTACAAATCTTTTATTTAAATACTATGCTATGTAGTAACAATGAATATATATATATATATATATCATAAAGCGTTTGACAAAAACTCTTAAAAACCATTTTTCATGCATGAAGTACTGTTTATTGATGCATGTTATTTTAAATTCAAGATTACAAGTAATTTTGTGTAAGTACAACTTATTAAAGCTACATTTTTAAATTTGTGTAACTAACTGCAGATAAATATAATCAAATACAAACTAAACATTCATTTTAAATATAGAAAATCTAAAATATAATTAAGATAATCATTAAGTTCTAACAGAATATTTAATTATTATTATTATAAAAAATTATATTGTTAAACCAAAAATAAATTACTTTGTTATTAAATCTAAATTAAATTATAATAAAATTTTGAATTAAAGAAGTTACACCAAAAAAACGAGAACCATTAAATA